TTTCAAAAGAGAGGCCCCCTTCATGCATATATATTATTGTTCTTGGATCAACAAAGCAAGATTGATACTCCTACATTGGTTGACAAGTATATTTCAGCTAAGATCTCAGATCTAAAGAAGACCTACATCTATATAAATTGGAAGATCTCATATGATGCATGGACCCTATGGGCTCGATAATCCAAACTCTCCCTTTATGAAGGAAAATAAATGTAGCAAATAATCTCCAAAAAGTTTCATTTGGAAACTATTGTTGATTATGAAGGTTACTCTACATATAAAAGGAGAGATATTGGGAGAGTGATTGAGAAGAATGGCTCTTGACTAGATAATAGATTTGTTGTGCTATACAACCCATATTTATTAAGAAAGTTTTAGTGCCATATAAATGTGGAAAAAATAAATCACTTTCAGTCTATCAAATACCTTTTCAAATATGTTGGCAAAAGAAATGTGTCTTCTTCTTCTTCAGAAATATCTGAAGAAGAAGAAGACGAATTAGAAAACATTTTTAATATTAATATAAATACATCTTCTTCAGAATATTCTTCTGAAGATGAATGTCAAGGTAAAGAAATTTGTGATTGTTCAGAAAAATTACAAATAAATGCCTTAGACAAAGAAAATCTAAAATTTTTAATTGACATAATAAGTAAAATTCAAGATGAAGATATAAAAAATCAATATTTATTAAAAATAAAAGATATTATAGATAAAGAAGAAAGAAATAATTTTCAAACATATGACCTCTTAATATTAATAAAATAATAAAAAGATTTGATAACTCCTATGATAAACCTGTAGGAATAAAAGAATTACAAGAAGAAATTAAAAATATTAAACAAGAAATTAAAGAAATACTGTGATTTTTGAAATGTGTCTTCTTGTGAAGGTGCTTAAAAGATCTTTGGTTTTGAAATTCAATATAAATATACTCTTGTTAAACGTTTGGAATTTCATTTACCTAATGAGCTATCTATCTTCTTCTCAAATTCTAATCAACTCCATGATGTAAAGGAAAAACTCACCATTAATGAATCAATGACGCCAGCATGGATGCGATATAATGATAAATACACTGATGGCCAAGACTTAACTTATATTGAGTTCTCGATGAAATTTGTCTATGATCACAAGTTAAGGGAATGGCACCCTTATAAGAGGGGAATTAAAATTGGTAGATTGAGCCATGTTCATCCAAAATGCTAGAGAATTGTACTTTCTTTGAGTTTTACTTAATAAAGTAAAAGGACCTAAATCATTTGAAGAAATTAGAATGGTCAATAACATTGTGCACCCAACTTTTAGAGCTGCTTGCTATGCAATTGGCCTTTTAGATGATGATCAAGAATTCATTGATGCAATTAAAAAATATGCAATTTAGGCATCTAGCCATTGCTTATGTTGTTTATTTGCTTAAATGCTTATGATGTAAACATTATCAAGGCTAGACTTGGTATGGACTCATACAAAAAAGATACTTTCTAATGATATGTTATGCTTACCTCGTAATAATCAACATTTGTCAAGTGAGAAAAAGTTAATAATTTTGTTAACATCTATTTCAATTTAACATAAAAGAGTAATTTTGTTTAAATTGCTGGTTAAATCAATCTTTTCTTCATGCAGGAGTTAAATTCTCACCTATAGATAAAGAGATAGTAGCTATGATAGAAATTGAACAATTACTTTCATAAAAATAGGAGAAGGTTGTGTGATTTTATTAACTTGTCATCTAATGCTCTAGTAAGTGCTCAACATGTTATGGATAGTTTAATATTAGAGCACTTGAATGTTAATCGTCAAGAAATGAAACTCTAATCAACAAGATTGATTGAGTCTTTAACCATGGAACAGAGAAACATTTTTTATCAGGTTATTAGCATCTTGAGTTCAAATGATTGTAATTTTTTTTATACATGGATATGGAGGGACAGAGAAAACATTTTTATGAAACACATTAAGTTCTTTTATTCAAGCTAAAGGGGATATAGTTTTAAAAGTGGCTTCAAGTAGTATTGCTGCAACCTTATTGTCAAATGGTAAAATTTCATACTCAAGGTTTGCTATTCTAGTTGAAATTAATGAGGATTCAACTTGTAATATAAAACAAAATTCTCCTCATGGAATGCTTCTTCAAAGATGCAAATTGATCATATAGGATGAAGCACTTATGATTAAGAAACATTGCATTGAAGCTGTTGATAAAACACTGAGAAATATATTGCATATTAATAACATAAATAACCATCTTTATCCATTTGGTGGGATATGTGTTATTTTAAGTGGAGATTTTAGATAAGTTTTGCTAGTTATTACAAGAAGGTCACGAGCAGACATTATCAATTCTGCAATCAATAGATCTAATTTATGGACTCATTGTAAAGTGTCAAAAAATTAAGATTGCAATCATACTCAATTGCTACACAACTTGAGATTGAATCTTTCTCCAAGTGGATTCTTAAGATTGGTGATGGTAAATTAGGGTAACCTCATGATGGATATGTAGATATAAAATTGCTAAAGAACTTTCAATCCTTTAGTATGATGATCTTTTTATTGCAATTGTGCATACTATTTACACAAACCTTTTAGAAAATTGGTCTAATCCCATGTATTTCACTTCTAGAGCTATTCTTGCACCAACCAATGATGTGGTTAACAAAGTAAACAATTACATATGCTCAATTTTTCCTAGAGATCCTGTAGAATATCTTAGTTCATACTTAATTTCTTTGTGCTCCTACCATAATGATTCCCTTGATCAATTGCAGACTCCAGAATTCCTTAATAGCATTGATCATTCAGGTGTTTCCCCTCACAAACTAATTTTAAAAGTTGGGATGCCTATAATGCTTATTAGAAATGTTGACCAATCCATAGGCCTTTATAATGGCACTCGAGTAATTATTGAGCATTTAGGTGATGACATCATTGAAGGACGGGTGTTGAATGGATCAAATGTGGGTGACAAGGCTTTGATTAACAGGATGGATATGACTTCTTCAAAGTCGCGATTACCATTTAGATTGTAAAGAAGACAATTCCCAGGGATTATATCTTTTGCCATGACTATCAATAAAAATCAAGGTTAATCACTAGATCACGTTGGATTGTATTTATCCACTTCGGTTTTCCTCATGGACAACCCTATGTTGCTTTATCTAGAGTTAGAAATAAGGATGGATTAAAAATTTAGGTGATGACATCATTGAAGGACGGGTGTTGAATGGATCAAATGTGGGTGACAAGGCTTTGATTAACAGGATGGATATGACTTTTTCAAAGTCGCGATTACCATTTAGATTGTAAAGAAGACAATTCCCAATGATTATATCTTTTGCCATGACTATCAATAAAAATCAAGGTTAATCACTAGATCACGTTGGATTGTATTTGTCCACTACGGTTTTTACTCATGGACAACCCTATGTTGCTTTATCTAGAGTTAGAAATAAGGATGGATTAAAAATTTAGGTGATGACATCATTGAAAGACGGGTGTTGAATGGATCAAATGTGGGTGACAAGGCTTTGATTAATAGGATGGACATGACTTCTTCAAAGTCGCGATTACCATTTAGATTGTAAAGAAGACAATTCCCAGTGATTATATCTTTTGCCATGACTATCAATAAAAATCAAGGTTAATCACTAGATCATGTTGGATTGTATTTGTCAACTACGGTTTTTACTCATGGACAACCCTATGTTGCTTTATCTAGAGTTAGAAATAAGGATGGATTAAAAATTTTAATCCATGACTTTGAAAATCAACCACTAACTACTACTAAAAATATTGTTTTCTACAAAATTTTGGGCAACATTACAAGTTAATTATAATATTCTTTTCATGTTTATTTCCAATTTGCCTTCAAAGATAGTATTTCATTTATTAAGAGTTTGCCTCTTTTGCAAAGTATATCATTGTATCCTTTCAGGTGAATGAAGCACATATTTAACCATATGGCTAATCACAAGCATGCTCCATAGCTATAACTATACTTATTAAGAAGCTTGAAACCTCTTTTTGAAGGCAACTGCACTGTGCCAAAAGTTTAGGGGGAAAGTGAAAGAAACTACTCTAACGTAAGACCCTTTCTCTTATACTGGCACTTTGAAAAATTTTGTTTCGGAGCTTATGATAATATATCATCCACTTTTTATAGCTTGAAGTTTTATTACCAAGGCAAGGATAAGATAGGCACAATCTCTCTTGTGTTCATAGACCACGTTGCAGCACAGTTATTAAAGCACTCTGTACATGAATTGATGCAGCATTCAATCGGACCAAATTTAAAATATTATGATATATTTTATATTAGATTTATTAAAATAAAAATTTATAAAATTTAATAATTTTTTTCATTTTTAACCTAGTCTAAATTTAATTTAGAGGCTCTAATTTGAACTGTTCAAAATATATTTAAATAATCAATATATAGCAATTATAAATACTAAAATATTCTTGTGCATCGCATGGGGTAAAATACTGGTTCATATTTAAAAATGTTGTTCCTTCCAATTTCTATGTATAACATCAATGTAATTATTTTAAACTCTTTAAAAAAAAATTTAATAATCTACTTATGACTTGTTTTCAAAAATATATTTATATCTTGAATTTGATTGATTAAAGATAGTTTCGGGAAGTTATAATAATTCTTTGCATGTATGATTTAACTGATTAAGGGAGTAACATTTGTTGCAATCCTTTACATGTCTTTAGTGATAATACAAATTATTCATATATTCATATGAAAATGAGTCATAAAAAGCATTGCCATTAAAATCAATGAGAGGATCATGAAAAGTTCTTAAACTTATTTCCCCTGAATATGCTAGCTGATAATATCTTTAGGAGGCAAATTAAATCTTCTTCGACACCAAATTTTGTTTCATTGTTTTGACGTTTTGTTAATCAGCATTTGGAGTAGAAGTCACTGTCACATCGTTTTATAAAAAATAGAAAACAGTTAAAATCCATGTAAATACCAAAAATTAAAATTGAAAGAATCATTTTATATTAGGCCCGATAATCCTAAAATACGACTATTAGATTAATTATATACAAAAGAAAAGTGGCAGGGAAAGAGTTAGCAAGATTGGCCTGTGGTGAGAGACAAGTCGGGAGAGAGGCAGAGAGAGGGATGATGGGGAGAATAATCAGGCTGAGCCCCAGAGAAAGCACAAGATTTTATAGTTCAAGTTAATGGACAAGATCAACTGCCAGAGAGGGCCACAGACAAGTCTAGGTTAATTGTATCTTTGCCAGAGGAGGAACAAGAGATGAATGAGACGGCTTCACTAATCTCACTGGCCGAAGAAGCGTTGTTAGTAATTGTATTGCTTCTCTTTGACGATTGATTTGGCAATGAGAGAGAGAGTGACAGCTCACACCCTCTCCCCCCTCCATCTCTTCTTCTGCATCTTTATTCCCTGCGGCTGAGCCCACATTTCTGCTAACCAATTCGGTACCCTGTCAATCCATCCACACAGAATAGCTCTTCACAAATCATCCATCTTAAGATAATTTACAATTACAATAATATCTTTCACCAAAGAATTGAACGACATGTAGTTTTATTAGCAGAAAAAAGACACTTATCATTACTGCCGTTTAGGTCATTTGTCTGAGCAAGTGCAATAATAGCAAAGGGCCATTTTGACCCGCCATTGCAGGTCCTTACCAATAATTTGAGAGGACCACCGAACGTTAAAAGCGTCCAAAATAGAGGGCATTATGATTTATGACAAGGTGCAGTAAATGTTGGATTATCCCATTTCCATCATATTTCAGTGATGATTTTCCCGCTTTTTAATTATCAAATTACTACTAAATAAATAAATGGGCTTCTATGCATTAGTACATTTCATGATTTTCATATTCATCATTCATTTTTAAGTATTTTAATTTCAATTTACAACACCGCAGTTTAAAATCCAAAATATTAGTTCAGATTCGGGTACTAATTAATGCCTTCGCACGTCTCGTTAAGATAGTCTGTTTTTTCCTGCTTGACAATTTACAACTTTTTTTTTGTCGCATACTGATGTTCTTTTGTATGAACCAACTTTGCGAAATACGAATAGAAAAAGCATCAAAATTCAAAAGAGGAGGGAAGGGAGTGCATAGTACTCTAGTATGAATACGTGAAAAAGGTTAGGTTTGGGAGTATTTTTCCTTCTCCTTTTCGGCCAAAAACTTGGGAACACAGAAGAAACACAGAAAAAGCACAAGGTAACGGGAAAAACAAAGCCAATGGTTCGCATTTAAGATACTAAAACGAGATCAGAAAAACCTTAGAATATATGAAAAACAGAAGTTAAAAATCTCAATATTACTCAATAGCAGTGTTTGGAACTTACAAAGGCTGTTCCTGTTTCAACCATCATCTCAGCTTCAAAAAAATGCCATAATTAGTTCATAATTTTTTCACTTCTTCATTTAAGTATCATTCACTAACGAATAACATAATATATTGGTTATATACATTTAAAACCATGGTTGAGGCGTTTATTTGTAAATAAAAATGAAACCCTAATATAAACCTACAAGAACCAAATATATTATTATATCAGACCATACAAGCAAACTAATATATATTATATTAATATATATGTTACATGTTAAAGCTATGTTCATGACATCTCGCAAAAATATCTTAAATTTATATTGAACTTCACACACACTCTCATAACTTTAGTCACCGGGGGGGGGGGGGAAGGACTTGTGAGTAATTCTTTGCAGAAAAGTTTGAAAAAAGGACGAGACGATGGAGTCAGAACTTGACTGTAATATATTTATAGACAGACTAAATAAACCATGGAGTATCCGATACACGATGAAATTCAGAAATATTTTAGTAAATCGGACGACGCAGGATTCTGTGACTAACATCTACTAGTTTTGGCCTTGGCGGGTTTTTGTTTACCTTTTACACTGTTCATTATACAGCTTCAAACCGTCGGACCAAACCAAAATCTGATTCGACCTTTCGGTGTAGCCTGATTTTCGTCATACTGAATTCATTTTATAGTCAAAAATAATAATAAAATAAAAAGGGTAGAGAGAGAAGGGGGAGGAATCGCATGTATGGTATATATGGTATGGCATGGGTATGAGTACCTGAAGAAAATCAGATTGTTGGTGGAAAGAAGTGAGGTTAGGAAAATGTGGCAGATGAGAGAAGGGTTGAGCCTGCCATATTGATATTGCTGCAGCAGCAGAAGAGGAAGAAGAAGAAGCCTCCTTTATTCCCTTGCGCTCACCCGTTGCCTGCACATAATCATAAAAGCTGTACGGATTCGTCACTGTTGCTGCTTCACATGTTCTTTGCCTCTCTGCCACTGCTATGCAACTCCTCGTCTCCATTCTCGCTCTGACCACCATGAGAGATTCCAGACGAAAAGGAATTTCAAAACATGGCATGAAAAAAAAGTAAAACTCGCTTCGCATATTTTATATATTTTATAAATTACTTGAAGCGAAACCCCAATCTTCTTGCCTCTTTTTCCTCTCTTTCCTTTCCCCCACTACACTTCTTGACATTTGAAAGAGTCTGATATCATGTCAAAAACATCATAACAATTTGTTTATTACTAATAATGAAGCTAAGCTGACCTTTTAGGTGAGAAATCACTGTGGCTCCTGGGGGAATCTGATTCTTTCCTCATGGATTTCGAACAATGTTGAATAATCCCTCTACCACCATCTGCATCATTCACTTCATCAACGCACCCATCATCATGTTCCTCAAAAGATTGTTTTCTATGGTAGCTCGAACTCCCATCTGTTTCAGCATTATTTATTAAGAGTACATATACAAAGATGAAAAGCCTCACAGAAGGTGAGAGAGTAAAAAAGCTTCGGGTTTCATTGAAAGTTGTCATCCCAAAAGGATTCAAAAGTACACTGGTTTCCCTCATCCTTTCCATGTCTCTTTTGGCAACAACCAAAGGAAAAAAAAATTAAAAGAACTAATAAATGAGCAATGCAGATGCAGATTTCCCAAACTCGTTCATAAATGCTAGCTCTCGGAGTTTTGCTTTTGAATCTGAATGCGTACCATTAGAGGAAAAACTAATAGATAGAGATCTTATCATCGTATTCTTCTAATGTGCAAAGCAAAACGAGTATTTAATGTACGATACGCAAAAATAGGATTTCCATAACAAAAATCACACAGCATGACAGCAAAGCAACTTTTAGTACCTTGTCTACCCAAATTACTTCTCATGCTTCTGTACATCTGTTTTGAAAACAATAACAAAACATCAAGTAAGAACCAAAAACACGTTCATCATGATTCGATAGCCCAGTAAAGCCACAATAGTAAGAAATCAACCTGGAGATGGCTCTTCACGTGTGAAATAGTAAGACCTTTGACATCCATCATCTGAAGAACAAGCTTAGGCGTCGCCTCTGCAGAACCACAGCAACAAGAAATCATTCCATCAAATGCACGCGATCATATCTAGACAAGGAGTGAGAGCACAGAAATCAAAAGCGAAAGCGCGTGAGAAAACGAAGAAGACTTACTGTGATGACCTCCAAGGGTGTCAATGGCACGAACAAAGCAGCGATGAAGTTCAGGCGTCCATCTCAGACGAGGGACCTTCGATCGGATATACTGCCTCACCGATCCTTCCCTTCCACAACTGCCCATTGATATTCTCTCGATCTGCAGAAAATAAAGAGACCAGAGCGATTCTAGAATCCGAATCCCTAGCTCTGAAGTTCCAAAACCTTGTTGAAGACGCTAGCTATTCGTCTGGTAAGAGATCATGCGTCTGTGATTATTTATAAAGCAGAAAGCAGAGAGAGAGAAAGAGAGAGGGGGGCGATGAAACCAGGAGAGAAAAGGAAAGGACGAAGGAGTGAGAGAGTGAGAAGGGTCTGCAAATGGAGGAGACTCTGATTATACCTGCTGCTCCTACTGTTCCTACTTTCTACCCCCACCTGGTAGCGTTGCTAAACGTTTTCAAAGTCAGCAAAGTGCTGCTATGCTATCAATTTTTTTTATTATTAATATACCTTTCATATCAATCTGTATATGCAAATATGCAATAGTACTTCATTATATCAAATGTATGAGTCTCATGTTATAAAAAACACAATTTAATTTTTAAAATGGGTTACTTTGCATATTTATATGTTATGGAGGACGACGGGGCTCGTTGTTCAACCATGCGCTCGTAAATTTTGTATTTTATTTATATTTTTCACTTGAAAATTTTATCATTATTTTTCAAAAATAAAAATACAAGCTCAATTTAAAGTGAGCATGTCACTCCCGTCAATTTTTATTTTTATTTTATGTTTTGCAGTCATTATCAATGGATTTAATAAAAATCAAGTGAAAAATAAAAAAATATGCCCATTTCATTCAAAAATTTAAGGCATTTTTAATTGAAATTCACCTTAATAAAATAATTACATACTTTTCAACTAACCCTATCTTTTCACATTTACTCCTATTAAATACCATGTAATAAATATAAAATTATTATCAATATGGACACTTAAAAAAAAGAAAATAAATATACCTCAAAAGATTTATATTTTTAATATCTAAATTTTAAAAAAATATTTTATATTTTTTAATGGAGGAAGTAGGTAATATAAAAATGATGATTGAATGTGCGTATGATTTAGTTTATATGTATAGAGATGATGATGAAATAAATTAGATGAGGTTTCAATAAGGAGTATTATAAAAATTGGAAGAAATAAAAAGATTTAAAAAAATGATGGTGAGAAACTAAAAAAAATGATAAAAAAGAAAAAAAAAATCACGAGGCTGTAAATGGGAAGGAGGTGCCAAGAGGAGTTGCACACTTGAACGAAATGATTACAAGCCTATGCTAAATACAAAACCCTCTACCCCTTGCCATTATTGTTCTTTCAACTGCTTCCCATTGACCCTTGCCTCTCTCTGTCAGAGCAGCTGCTTTGCTAATCCTCATGCCAACGACGTCGTTTCTTCCCTCTGCCAATCCCAATCTCGCTGCTGCTCATTCCATGTTCATGATCAACTAGCTCACAAGAACAACCATGTCAGCTTCACATAATGATTCGGTCCCACCACCTAGTCCTCTTTGATTCCTGTATGTAAGCCAATCTACACTATGGTACGTTGTAATGTTGACGGTTGGTACATGAATCTCACAATAGCTACTTGATAAAATACAAGTTGAATTACGATGAATATAATCTGTGTGTGTATATTCCATCCCACGAAAGAATTAGAATGAAAATAAAAGGGGAAGCCGGAACAGCGTGGAGGAATGAATGAGAAGAGATTGTTGACTAGACATTGGGGCTAGTTCCCAAGGTGGGGCTGCCTCCCTTGTCAATGAGGCAACACGTATAGAAAGTCAAACACGCACACATGCATTCTTTAAATATTTGCTTTTTCAATCGGACAAACCAACGTCAACATCAACTGCGAAATTCAAACAAAAATCAAAAAGAACAAGATGAAGTAGAAGAAAAATGGCAGTTAAATCTTGTATCATTTAATTAATAAAATTACTCTTTTTATCTATTCTTATTAAATATTTTATAATAAATATAAAATTATTATAAAAATATTTTAAAAATAATAATAATTATACTTTAAAAGATTAAAAATATCTCACATTTTTAACATTTAATTTTTTAAAAAATATTTTATATTTTTTAACAGAGGGTGTAAAAATTAAATTTTTGATAAATTTTTTAATAAATTAATTAAAAATATATATAAATTCAAAATTTTTAATGATAAATGAATATTTAAGTATTAAATATAATTTTTTAATTATAATAAAAAATTATTAACTATTTAAATTAATATTTATAATTTATTTTTAAAAATTTTATCAAGAATTTAATTATTATTAATTTAATATTTTAGTATTTAATTGAAAAAACAGTCAGTCACACACACACACACACACATGGTTTTTCAATGAGACCAACGATCAGGAAAATCGACGGGCAAGTTGTTGCTAGGCCTGCCCCTTCACCTCTAATCACATTCACATCTGGTCCGTTTTAATTTATTGAACGGTTGAGATTTCAAGTTTAATTTATCATTTTTTTACAAAATCAATTTTAAAAAAAAATAAATTAGCCCACTAGCTGGAAAAAATCTTGTACTCAAGAAACATATACTGAATTATTAAGAATTTAAAAGTATAATCAATTCACATTGATATATAAAAAATTTATTATTAAAAATTTAAAAATTTACAAAAAGTTTTTTGTTGATACATAATAATATATCATTAACAAATATAATAAATCGATCATAATATAAAATATAAAAATATTGAATTGTTTATTGTGTTTGGTCTAATAACATAAGTTATATATGCAAAGGCCTAGTTTGAGTCTCCATTAGAACAATATTTTTATTTTTATTTTATATTTGCCAAAATAAAATTTTATAAAATTTTTTAATAAATATGCAAATCATCAATCTAGCTACACACAGTTCAAATTTAATTTAAATAGTCCAAATTTAATATTTAATTTTTTTATAATTTTAAAAATTAACTAGCTAGATTTGATCTGAACTATCTAAATTTAATATGAACAATTTGGGAAAATAATAATTTTGGGTCTTTGCACTTTACTAGAATTTTTCTATAAGCCCATGTACTTTTTTAGTATTCTAAATCTCTATAATTTTTTTTTAATATTTTAAGTTCCTCCATAAGCAGTATTATAGGGATTAAGGTATAAATGAAAAAAAGTGTAAGGACTTAAAATACTAAAACAAGTGTAAAAACTTATAGTAAAACTCGAATAAAATGTAGAGATTTAAAATTATGTTTTCCTAACAACTTTTATAAATATTTTAATTTTTTAAGTAAATATAACATTAAATATAAAGATAATTTTTAAATGATAATTTCTTTTAAAAAATTATAAATTAAAAAATTTAAATCTAATTTATTCAATTAAATTTAAACGGTGCAAATCTCATCATAAGTGACCAGCATCATGGGAAGCTTTGCCAGCAATTGGAAGTTCGATACACTTTTTAAATTTTTTTCAAGCTGCATAGCCCTCCCCTTCTCGTGAACCTTCATTACTTTTAAAATGTGTATAAATCCTTTTTTTTTCATTTATTTTCAAGGCTCACGCAGGACATCCAAAATAATACGAATGTTACTCGAAATTATATTTAGTATCATACTCCTTCACTTTAATAATATAAGATATTTTTTTTAAAATTAAATGTTAAAAAATATAAAATATTTTTAAACTTTCAAGATATAATTATTATTTAAAAAAAAATATTTTTATTGAATATATTACTTTATACTCTCTTCGTTTAAAAATACAAAACATTTTTAAACTAAATCTTACTCTAATAAATTAGTTACTTAATTTTAAACTAACTCTATATTTTTATATTTATTCTTATAAATACCCTAAAATATATACAAAGTAATTTATTCAGTGCATTTTAAAAAAACAATAATTATACCTTAAAAGATTTATATTTTTTAACATTCATCCTCTCAAAAAATATTTTATATTTTTTAATATAGGGAGTATTATTTTAGAGTGAAACACCTTATTAAATAAGGGTAAGTATGAAAAGATAAAATTAATTTAAAAATAAAAAATTATTTTATTGGATGGTAAAAGGTGGATACAATTTTGCTTGAATAATAAAAATTATTTATATAATTTTGGCAAATACTTAAAAGTTCGTGTAATTTATTGTTCGGATTGAAAGAATTGAAACGAGGATTCTGCATGACTCGCAATGTTCACAGACGTGGGTGCGTGAAATACAGAAAACACGTCTTATTTGAATAATTTATTAAAAGCGGTGACAGATAAAAATGTGTTTAGTTTAGTATGACTAAGTTTATAAGAAAATCAGTACTCCATAATAATAGTAATAATAATGAAGGAGAGAGAATTAAAGAAGGCAGGGGGGGGGGAGAATAATGAGGTGTGCAATTTGGCATGAAGGAAGTGTACAGTTGCAGGACCTCGAAATTCCAGCTTTGAGGAAGGAAGGGGTGAGATTGGGGGAAGAAATTGCACGTCAACGTGGGAAAAGGAATTCCGTACGTGGAATTTCATTTCTGCGATTTCGTCCGTTTTGTCGAACAGGGATGTATGTGCCATCAAAATCAATCCATCACCTTTCTCCTTTTTTCCCACTTTCTTTATACTGTTTTATATTTTTATATTTTATTCCCTCACTTCACACTGCCACTTTCAAACTCTTAACCACGTAACCAGTACTCAATCAGCCAGCGGTCGCCTATATAATAAAAATATTAAGATACAAAGAGTTGAGATATAAGGCTACTCAGCTGGTAAGTAATCACTTCAATTCTATTTATAATTTATTTTTATAAATTTTATCAATATTAATATAATAAAAATATAAAAAATAAAAATTAGTAAAATTTTAAACATAATTTTTAAAAATTAAATAAATTATATAATATTATTTATTTATTTTTACTTTTTAAAGATAATTTAAACATTTTATTTGAAATAAAATATCACTGTTAATCCAATAACTTATAAATTAAATTATTTTATTTTTATAAAAGGTGATCAATAAAATAAATCAAAAGAAGTATTACATTACATAAGAGTTTACTTGTCTCGCTGGAGAATTGCGTCCATTAGGAGTTGAAATAATTCAACTCAAAGATAATGAAACCGCAAGAGAATGGGATTAGAAGAGTGAGGGATGAATCATTCATATAATCTACAGTGAAGCTTCGGTTTCTTTGGAATAGACAGAGTGCCGAGTGCGTGTGTGGTTGTGGATGATAATAATTACAATCAAGAATGTTTGAATATTTTTTCCAAAATCATGATTTTACCTTAATTTTTAATTATACTTAAAATCGACTTTTTAATTGACTTTATAAATCAAGTATATCACAAAATATAAC